AGCTGTTGCACTGACCCGCTCAGGAGTGTCGATCTCCACTGCCAGCAGCTGCAGAGAGACACGTGCAAAGGCACATGCATTATAAATAAATGCTGAAAAGTTTAATTGGTTAATCATAATAGTGAAAGCTAATTAATATTCCAAGCCATACCAGCAGTTCTGTGAATAATGTGTGTTGTAAAGAAACCCAAATAGTAAAAGGTTCTATTAGTTTTTAATAGTTAGCTGTCACGGGGAAGTAAATGTAATAAGTGGCCAGAGGGGGGTTTCAGATGTTGCTAGCATGGCTAAAAATTAATCTACAACTATTCTGATAACTGATTAATTGCTTCTAATTTATGAAAAAAACAAAACAAAACACAAAAAAGATACTGAAATACAAAGAAAAGGTGAAAATAGTAATTAGCTGCTGCCCTATATTAATTATTTCTGTCATTACAATTATCTTCATTCATAATTTAGTGATAGATGAAGTCTAACCTTAAAAGAAAGTGTTGGTCCCTTTTCATAGTCGATGCCAGATGCGTCTTCCACAATGATGGTCACCTGCGCCTCATTGAGGACTGTCTGGGGAACCACTCGCAGCACTCGGCTCGGCCCCACTAGTCTCAGTTTAAATTTAGCATTTGCCCCCTACAAAGAAACATAAGCAGCAGTGTGAATTAAGTAAGCAAGTCAATTACAGCCAGTAAGAATTTAGCTGCCAAGAAAAACAATAAAACTGAAGAATGAGCAGACACAAGATGCAAACCTTGGTGGATTTAAATAAAAATTGGGGGGCACAATTAGTAACATTTTGTCTGAAAGCTTAAATTAACTGATTTTATTGACATTTTTAAATGGTGTTGCATAACTGCACATGCTTTTAGGCTGGCTGACAGATGTTAATGCTACATTATACCCAGAGGTTATTATTTTATCTGTCAGCAGAGGAACAAACTCAACAGGAAGAGGCAACATTCATTTTAAAAACACTGCAATTGTTGTTAGAGCACCAGCCTTTGTCAGAATTATTGACAAGTAACAGCACTTTACTGTAGTTTAATGTGAGCCCTGAGTGAAATTTGGGAGTAGACCTACTTGATCAGAGTCATTGACGGTGATCTTAAAGCCTCGGAGGATCTCTCCTGCAGGAGGATGCTCATACATGCTGACCTCAAACTTGCTCTGTGGTCCGTTTTCTCCATAAAATGTCGGAGGATGGTTGTTGAGATCCACCACCCGGACAGTCACCGTGGTAACGTCATAGTCCAACAACTTATCATTTGGTCCTACCTCAGACGCCTGGGTTTAAAAATGACACCCATCAACACATTCAGCAGTAAAAGCAAGTCAGCTTATATGAGATGATTCCTAAGAAACATTACCTTCACTTTAATTTCATATAATTCATTTTTCAGAAGAGATGGATAAGTTGACAGGGTGATGCATCCACTAGTGCTATTTATATCAAAAACACCATCACTACCTGAAAGGTAATGACAGACATGAAACTGTATGTTTGGAGATCATGATTTTAAAAAGACTGAGCAAAATAAGATTGGAATTGATTTCTTCATGTATTGTTCTTACCATCCATAATGGAATAATGTATGGGGTTTGGACTGCCTTGGTCTCCGTCTTTAGCATAGACTGTAAATATTTCAGAACCCTAAAAGAAAGAAGAAATATATAATTATGCATACTGTATGAAAACAAATGTGTCCTGATCACTGTTAACTGTGTGAGAAATAGAGAACGCACAGGGACTGAGACTTCATAGATGTAGCCAAAGTAAGGGGTTCCTAGGAAAGATGGAGGCACGTCTTGGGCATCAATTACATGAATGGTTATGGTGGCTGTGGAGGTCAACACCTGTTGCTTCCCCTTGTACATTCCACCTCCATCCTGAGAAAATGGATAGTGAAGCAGATGACATAGTTAGCACACTTTGTGATATTTCTAATGCTGCTTATATTTTACATTTGGCAGTTAGTGGACATCAGATACCAGGCTCAAGAAATATCCCTACATAGAGATTTCATTTTACTATGAGTACTTTTCCCCATTTTACCCAACTAAAATAACATGAGCTACAAGAACAGTAACCAGATACTATCTAGCTTGAAATGGTTTATCTGTTAACTATCTAAACAGTATTACAAAATAAAACAAAATCAAATAACATAATCACTACAGTGGTTTAGTATGATTTTATCATCCATATTGATTAGACATCTGTTTAAATCTGGGATGTAAACCTCTTTATCCACACTTAGCATGTCAAATTCAGCATGATTGGGAACACTAAAATTGGTAACATCATTTCCATGGCTATAGTAAGTTTGATTCCTGGAGAGTGAGATTTTATTTACTATGGAACAGATTATGCCAAGAGTCTTGTACATTCATATATTTTTGTGTGGACCCAGGAAGAGTAGCAGATGTCACAAATTTGATCTTGATGATCCTGTAAGTGTAAAAGAAATATAAAAGCCTGCCTATAAAACTAATGAGTTCAAACCCTTTCGAGCCACTTTGAAGCATTTCATGGGAATCCTAACACAGAGGTTTTAAATAGCTGTATCTGCTTGTATGTTAATTCTACAGACACACATGCCTACAGACATAGAAAACCTCTTGATCATTCTTAACAGTAGGACTGCACTTCAGGTTACTCAAACTGGGAACAACAGTTCAACATCTCATCACCCTTTCATTTACTTCATAAGTGATGACTATTGAAACTCATCAAAAGCGTTGGCGTTGTATTCAGACACAGTACCTGGCAAAACTAATGAAGGCTGTAGTGATGATCAATCTGAAACTTCTAACACATGGTGAGGACGGAGAAACCAACAAGCCAAATTGCTCAGAGTGTAAACGTGTGTTTAAGGCATCCGAGAAGACAGCAGGAACAACCCAAACCCAAAGGACAAGAATGACTTCTCACCTTTGCAACCACTGTCACAAAATGCGTTGCTGTGGTCTCATAGTCTAGAGTCTCACCAGGTTTGACTCTAAGGATTCCGCTGTGCCCATCGATGGTGAACTTAGCAAACGGGGAGGTCTGATAATATAAAGAGCCACACAGTCTGCAGTGATTAGCATAACGGCAAACAGTGTGAGTATGTGTTTCATTTCTGGTTACATTTAGAAATCAAGTGCACTTTCATTTTAAAGATGCCTCTAATCACTATTAACTCTTGACTTGCCTCATTATAACCCTGTCATTTTTTGTTAAACAGTAACAGCTACTGTGCTGTCATCTGTTGGCCCAGACCAAACCTAAGTCCCTATTAAAGCCTTCAATGCCTTGCTCAAATGTAATTGAAATTTAATCAACTAAAATGTTTCCAGACTGCTCTCTGGTATGAGATTAATCTTCCCCCTCCACACACTGTCCCATCACTCCAATGCCCTTTTCTGCCCTCCACATGGCAGCATAGCTCTCAGCTCGACCTCTGGCCTCCCCCTCGACTGTTAGAGCCAAACCAAGCCAGTTAGCAGGATCACTGTGTGGATAGTAATGGTAAAGCTGTAACAATAGATGTAATACATTTTTCAAACCAATTACAGAGTGAAAATAGGATCAGACAATAAAAAGATAAAGATAGTGAGAAATAATAATAATAATAATAATAATAATAATAATAATAATAATAATAATAATAATAATAATAATAATAATAATAATAATAATAATAATAATAATAATAATAATAATAATAATAATAATAATAATAATAATAATACATGCTTGCTCATGCTTTCAAATATGATTGTGGCAGACTTCAGGGTACAGGAGTTAAGAGCTCTGGAGATGTAGGCTGAAGATAAGCTATTAACAGCTCAGCAACTGGAGGCCATGTACATGTACAAGAGGGATAACATAGCTAAAACTTTTCTAGCCTGGGTTACTTTAAGTCACTTCTCTCTGCATGTGTTACTATTACTGCTGCATTTTATTTTTTATTTTTTTCACTTAATGCCAGAGTGAAGAGAGATGCAGCGATTCTAAAACCATGAATAACATTTTAGGGAATATTTGGTTTTGGATGCATTAAAAATCTGAATGAAAACTGTCTAGGTAATGCTTTTTATCCGAGTTTCAAAAACCAATTTAGAGTTAAAATAAACGGCAAGATTTAGTGCTTAAAATTCCACATAAATCATCCAATGTGTTCCTGAAATTTAGTGGTAGCCTAGAACGGCCTTGGCCAACCTCGTTTTAATTCAGCTGCAAAAACATTTTACATCTAGCACTAAATTTCACCAAGACAGGGCATTTTAAAGATACCAGGGTCACAGCTGTGCATTTTCATAACAGTAAAGCTGTAAAGTTACCTGTAGATAATATGAGACACTGGCTCCTGAGCCCATGTCTTTATCCACTGCTTGGACTCTGTAGATGCTACTTCCTGGAGCAGTGTCCTGGAGAAGAGACAAGAAGATGTTATAACCCCCAAACCCACTTCAATCTCAACTGTTATTATTGTTTGACACAGTTATCAGATTTACAGGTTGATCTCTAAAAGGGGTTCACTGTATTTATTGCATTGCATTAGGTTTATTTGTTTGATATACTGCACCTCTGGGACATCAATGATGAAAGGCAGGTTTTGAAATTCAGGTGTTTCATCGTTGGCATCAGTAACAAACACTCTCACTGTCTCAACAACCTGAACGCAAGAGCAAAAATACTAAATATCAATCATAAATTAAAACAACCACACAATTTGGGGTTAATTTTAAGGCTACAGACTATTTAGGAGAAAAAAATATATATATAATTAAGAGATAATTAACTGAAATGAAAATAAATAAATAACTGCTATGCTTTTCTTTGCTCTTATTATTTTTCTTTTATTTCACAATTATAATGTAATGACATCAACGCAGCTGTAAAAATAAAATGCATGGAGGTAATGAAACCAGCAATGACAACCACATATAAAAAAAAGTTGCACAAAAATCACAATCTTACTTTATTGCGACCATCCGTTATGCTCACAAGCACTGAGATTTCATCTTGTTTCTATAAAGAAAATGTAAAAGGAACTTTGAGCCATAGTGACAGATTTACAGCAGGTTTCTTCAAAATAAGAGTCTCATCAACTTCGCTCACCTCTCTGTCAAGCTCCTGAATTAGGGTCACGTTTCCAGATTTGGGCTCTACCCTAAAATATTCTTTGGAGCCCTTTTCAAAACTCAGACCATATCGTACCGGATCCCCCTCTGAATCAGTGCCGTTCAGGGTGTATATCTGTGTTCCTACATGGAAGCAAATTACACAGAGAAAAAAAAAAGGCTAAACCGTCACATTCAGCAAAACCTTAGACATTTTTATATTCATGCAGAGAAGGTGCAAATGCTTTTGTTTCATTTCTTATTCAGTGTCGATGCATGTTCGATAATCTGGCCGATGAGCCACCACCCATCTATTTCTTCTTGTAAGTCTTGATGTACGTCACAATCCAGATTAGCTCAAGCCTCATATCAGCGTGATCATTTCATTGTTACACTTAAAATTAACCTTTAAACTAGAGTGAACATGATCAATGAACTGGATCTGTGTCTGTTAAAGTTATCATTAGAGACTTACCAACTGGTGTGTCCTCAGAGATGCTCAAGAAGGCCATATTCCCATTTGTACTGCTGGGTCCATTATCATAAAAATAAGGAGCATAGTCTGATTGTCCTTTAAGGAAAAACATATAAACATGTTCCAAGTTATCTGAACAGAAGAGATAAAATAATGGAATATTGTATTAGCAAGCTACTCTATTAACTGTATAAAGCTGAAAAATGACACAAATCATAATTACTTGTCTATAATTTGTTCTGTTTCTAATGGAAATGCTTATGTAATTAAGAGATAACTGTTGTACTCACTTGCTAAAAAGGGCAGGAACCGAAAGCAGGGAGGAAGAGGAGGATGGGTGTGAGAAGAACTGTGGATATATTTGGATTTTTTTTTTCCAACAATGTAAATACAAACATTTTAAATATGAAGTACACACAGCATAAACAGTCTACACTAAGATGGACATGTCCTCTGTGTGTTAGAGGATTAACCAGATAAGAGCAAGGCAAGAAGCCTTAACCACACACAAAGCCAAACAAAGAAGAAAGATAAACAGAGCCTACCCAAGGTGAAGTGAAGCATGAGGAAAAATAGCAAAACATGTGCTTCCTTTTCTTTCTTCATCCTGGTGGGGAGGTAAGGCTTGGTTGGCTCATGTGGAAGGCTTGGTGGAGGGAAAGCGAGCAGTGAGTGTCGTGCCCTTCTGGAGGCGTCTCAGCAGCTCAGGAGGAGGAAGAGGCTGGGACAGATCTGCAGGCACTAATCCAGTGACGCATCATTTCCTTCTGCAGACATCTTCTACCAGACTGCTCTCACTCTGATCTTCCCTGCAAAAACTACATGTGGAGAGAAGAGAGTTCAGGTTTCACACAGTATGGTCTGATCATCACACCTCTGCACACGAGACAGTGTATACATGAGTCACTGTAACCATGATTGCAGTTACTGTAAATCGCAGATTCTGTGATATAAAACTTTAAATTTACAGAAAAGTGAAACCAGTGATGTTCAGGTTTACAGGATATTCTCATGGAGCATAAAACAAACACCCTTTCTAGTCTGGTACTGCACGTGTTTCTCTTTGTTTATTTGCACACATGGGACACACTGGTGTTTAAAGAGGGTTTCAACAAACTCATTAGTCACACGTAGTGAGTCCCACTGGCCTAAACATCCTGTGGCTGCTCTCCTTGGCAGCTCACAGCTCAACACAAGCCTGAGCTGTACTTAGAGCAGTCCACTTAATCTGGGAAACACACTGACCTATGCCTCCACACACAAAACGTGGCCCAAATGGGTGCTTTACAAAAAGATAATATTGACCATCAATACTGTTTTGTTTACTTTCTTCAACTTTACTTTTAAAAATTTGGATTAATAGAGGAACCTGATTCAAGAGAGGTACAGCCTAAAAATAAACAGCTGAACTACTAAAGAGGACATTTAAAAATGTGACGCTTTCTAAAGGCCAAAGTGAAAAACTGACTGTGATGTTTTGGTCTCACAGCCTTATTAGCATCTGATAACAGTCAAGAGCCCAGCAGCTCATAGTTTTTGTGCACACAATTTTCACCTTGGCCTCGCGAGAGTTTTGCACCTTTTTTTTTTTTTTAAATCAGATCCATTTATGAGCACATGTCATACGAGTGCACGTTTGCCTGCCATTTCAGTGAAGTGTAACTGTAGTGACTTACTTAATTAGAGGTGCAGACTTGTACACTTCCTGTATTCACAGGTATAAAAATAGTGTCTGACGCTCAGTGACAAACTCATGGTTACTGGTTAGCCAACTGGTTGGTATCCAATGACAAATCTTCTCAGTTCACTGAAATAAATGTAGAATCTATGAACTGTAGTGTTTATAGTGGAGTTTGACAATGGAATGCAGACACCAGAATTAATAAAAAATGTTACTGATTATTAAAGATTTAAGGTAGAAAGGATACTGTATAGTATACATTGAAGAACTATGTAAATATAAATACATATATATTTAACTTCCAAGTCCTAAAGATATTGCTAAAGTACATACTGTAAGTATTATAAGCAAAATGCACTGTATTACAAGTAAAATATCAAACAAAAGATTTTAACTACCCACTACTACTAGCTACTATGAATTTTAACTACTTCTATACAGCTGATTGCTTTAATTATAAGAATTTTTTTATTTATTTTGTAAGCAGATAAGCTTTTTCAACAAAAAATCTGAATCAGCAAGGTAACTAAAAATGTAGCGGTTTAAAAACAGTTGTCTTCTGACATGTGCTGAAGTAGTTTATTTTTAGGCCTTAAGTATTTTGTTAAGAACCTCAAAAATGTACTTAAAAATACTTAAGTAATTCAGTTGAGGATGGACACAGCAGAGTAAGAGTCCACATGCAGTAGGTTATGAATCCACGCAGTTTGGAACCACCCACTCAGTGTGATACTGTATAAGAAAGTACTTGTAAAGTCAGAGTTCTTAAGGCATTGTGGGTTAAAATGGTGAAACTTGTTTAGTCTCTCTCTCAAGCACTGACTGAAGCATAAAGCATTAAAAACTTTGGACCCTAACCAAATACTGGTCATCAATCTGAAAATGATTGACACAGGGCAACATGGTGAAGCTTTCCCCGGTCTCATCCTTTACTGCCTTCTTTATCCCTTCCATCTGCAGCGTTTTTCACATTTATATGACTCATACATCCTAAACATGAATATGATCCAAAAGTCTGAAACACTGCTTGGCAGCTGGGTGCTCCATGTGTATCTACTTTAATGAAGCACCTGTATATTTACAGATGTTAGCATCTGTTGCAAGTGCCCTGGTTTGGCGGTTTAATTTTACCAGAGCAGCCAGATGGTGAACAAGAGGATTACTACGCTGAGCCTTTGTCATCTGCTGCTACACACCGACTATTCCTCATTGTCAGCTGGAACTGATGAGAATGTGGACGACAAATGGTAGAATATGCAAGTTTTGGATTATTTAGTAGTAGCAGTGAGGGGTTGTGGGTAGAGCTTTACACCAACATTTTCTCACACTCACTTTAAAAAGAACACTATTAATATTAGCTGCTCTAGTTGTTTGTTGGTTTTGTGGGTCATTTTATTGGAAATGTCAATGCAAGTTATACCCAGTACTACAATATCATGTACCAAAAACTCAATTAGTGGACATTGTTCACCAAAGTTAATAGTTCCACTGTTGGAAGACATTGTATATACACACACACAATACACTGTCATATTATGAATGGAAGTAGATGACAACCAGGATCAATGCCAATTTAGTGTCTGGTAATATTGTACTATAAATGTTCATTATGATCAAAAAGATAAGATAAATGAAAATGTAAAACAACCAGAACTCCCATGTAATTTCTTTTTACTTGTTAAACCACAGGGACATGACAATCTTAGTGTGTGAATATAGACTTATCAGAAGCCCAAATTTCTAGAGTTGGAACAATTAGGCAATTACCTTATCAACAGAGTTAATCACCAACTATTCTCATAATTGCTTATTGTTTTAAGCATTTTTAAGACCCCACACAAATCTTTTTGAAGGTTGCAGCTGCTCTGTACAATATTCGAGTAAATTTTTCCTGTTGGTTTTAGACAGTTGACATAAATATAATAAGACATTTGAAGATGTCATGTTGTGTTTCTAGGAAGCAGAATTGAAACATTTTAAGATTATCTTCCCAATAGTAAGCTAATTTACTAAAAAACTGACACATAAAAACACCACTTTGCACTTGTTTATTGAGCAATCATTCATTCATTCATTTTCCACCGCTTAGTCCCTGAACGGGGTCACGGGGGGCGGGGGCTTTGCCAATCCCGGCCAGCAATCGGGCGAAGGCGGGGTACACCCTAGACAGGTCGCCAATCCATCGCAGGGATTGAGCAATCATTTTTGCAGAAATATATAAACCAATGTCGATCTCTTTAATCCATCACAGCAGTACAGTATCACTGTATACTGGAAAACCCACACACAAATAAGTAATTTATTGTACTGCGAGTCTAGCTGGCATGTGGCATTTCTGTTGTAAATACCAGATATACTTGAACTTTCATTCTTATCAGGAACACATCCAAGAGAAAATAAATAGAAAACATAAAGAACAACATCTGATGCTGACAAACAGATTTCACCCCTCTGTAACCCTCAGGATAAATCAGAAACTTCAACAATTAAACTAAGAGTTCTGTCTGTGTGTTATCAATGAACAGTTTGTGTTTTTTTACTTGGACGAGCAAGTCATCTGTACACACTTGCAAAACATTTGTGTGATTAGATTTGTCACAAAAAAAAAAACACCTGGCATGTGCTGCTAGCAATGAAACAGTTTTGTTCAGCTCTGTGGAAGGTAAAACTGAAGCTAAAGTAAGAATGCTGCTATTTATTTCTTTCTGCCGCTGCCCCCATTAGCCAGAATCATCACCAGCCTTATGAAGATATTCAGTGTGTCCATGTAAATCCCCATACACCTGTAATATAAAAAAAACTATGAGATCCATCCTTTGGTGCAAGTAAAAAAATAATAATACCCTTTACTTTACAGAAAAAAGGTATTTAAAAGTGTACTGTGTACTACACTTACGCGTTGATGGGGTCATATTTCTGTACACCATAGAGTGGGTGTGTCTCTGCTCTCTTGATGACCTTCTGTGTGTCATAAAGGAGGAAAAGGCTGAACAGGACCAGGCCTCCATAGATGGCCACCGAGTACAGGCCTGCACCAAATGCCGAGGTTGGCGGCAGGAACATTGTTCCTGAAGAAGAGCAGAGCATTCACTGTGAGATTGACGAGCACAGATTTTTCACAGGGAATTCAAAGCAGAGAATTGCAATTTATTTAACTGCAATAAAGTTTCAAATCCGTTTTTGACACAAACAAAAAGAAAGCCCAAAGCTTCATAGAACGTCATCTGCCCATCCCCACATAGAACCAATGCTTTCAGTGTAATTTACTCAAAATTTGCAGTTTATGGATTTTGATCTTATAAAGACATTTCTTACTAAAGTGACCTATTCATGGTAAAAACACCTAATACATGGTGTTGACTAGTTAGCGGGGTCTTGAATTAAGCGTACAATGGATTGATTTGTATTCACAGTGTACACAGTGTCATTTAAATTACAGACATTATGGCAGGATCTTCACACTTCTGTACTTGTGTCTGAGAGCCATCAGTTGTAAACACACCAGCACAGAACCACTGTGAAGGAAATGTATGCACTCCATAAATAAAGTGCACACATCAGGATATGTGCAAATTAACAACACATTGCAAGTTCATTCACTGCAACAAAACTACTGACTGCAGTAACAAGGCGAGGGTGCTGACACAGAGGTACCCTCACATTCTCTAGCATCTCCACTGCTATTTTCAGTATTATCAACTGAGACAGGGTTTATGAAGTGAAATTGCATTATACTAACCAATAGAGGAAGCAAAGACTACTCCAAAGCCAACAGCCAATGGCCCGCCCATATTGAGGAATTTTTCACTTGGGGCACACATGGCCACCGTTGACAGACCTCCCACAATGCCTGCTGTGTACCAGGCAGCCCTCAGCATCAGAGGGCCTCCCAGGAGAGTCAGGGGAGCGACAACAGCACCCATCACACCTTATCAATGGATAAAAAATATCACATTAATAACAAACAATGACACAAAAAAAAATCTGTTGCCAGGATGTAGTGGAGAAGTTTCAAATACAGAGTAGTTGTTAATCTGAGCCTTTACATGACTGCCCTCTAGTGTTCAACTGAGGCAACTACATAACAATAGGGCTGAGTGGGATAATATAACAGAATAATAATTTTTTACGAGACAGTCTTGCAAACCTGCATGGAGCAACCAAGCGAGGTGTTTGGGCACTGGGCTGTGCTCATATGAGATGGACCGGACCAGCATGCCAGCACCAATCACGGCTGCAAAGGTTGCTCCAATTGCCTGTGTCAAAACAAACATACTTTATGAATTCACACAGAAATGGGAAACACTTCACAGTCACTTTGAAAAGGTCAGATATTACTTAACCAGCCTACAGTGCATTAGCTTTCACTTTAATTTGGCAGTAAATGTTGCATCTGTCTATACTAGATCCACATGAAGCTTACCAGCCAGGATCCTCTCATCATCAGACCCAAAAGTGCAGGGGTCCGGCTCACAGCTACAGCTGACAGAGCTGTCAGTCCAACACTGCCTGCAAAGTACATGTAGGTGGAGTGGATCCTGTCCTTTACGTACTGAGGCCAGATGCTGCACAGGGAGAAAAGAGACAGGTGAAGCTAGAGCTTTGAATGGCAAGCCACAAACACTCTATACTGACCTATGCTTCAAAATAAAATTAAAACGCTGCTTGTACAAAAAGCTTTTACTCACACTGCTTTCTCAATGGCACCGATTTCACTGGACATGCCGAGCCCATAGTAGCACAGAGCTCCAAGGCCAACTGCTGCACCTCCAGCAAGAATTATTCTTCCCATGCTGTCAACTAGATAGAGATTAAATAAATCTTGTTTTAACCTCTAATTTCCACTGCACCATACCATGAACCTAACTGCTTGAAAGGTGTCTAAAGCAACATGCCACAGACACATAGTTTAATTTGTTTTGACACTGTATGGTAGTCATTTAGTTTCAAATCAAGCACCACCATTAAAAAAGGTTCCAATTTATGTGAACTCGTATTTTTGGACAGCTATGGTCTGACTAAGGAAGTAAATGGCTGAAAAGCCCCGTTATTTAACAGTACAGTATGTATGTAGTCTATGTAACAGAATAAGTAACTAATATATGTTAGTATTTACTTCGAATGGCGGTATCTGTCGCTGGCTCAAAAGCTGCTTCTTTGAGCTGGTCTCTGGTCGTCCGTGCACGGCGGAAACCAAATCTGGCTTTATAGGAATAACCCTGGTGAAAGAACAAGTATTAAACAAACCTACAAATGTGATTAACATTTTAAATGTATTGAGTGTGTCTATTAGTTTGTTCATCCCATAGCCACTATTTGATGCAACAATATTTAAATATCTTCTTTAGTAACCCAAGATTAATAAGAGTTCCTTCTAACTTAATCTGATCATAGTAACAGAGGTAAAAGTAATTATTGGACTGTGCGTGTGGTACTGGTGTAGTTTTAAGGAACAATGGGTGTTGTTAATGTGGAGGTTAACTATGTGTGATGCCCACCAATGTGTGCCCACATTTGTATGAATGTGTATTTTACTTTGATATAAAACATGTAACAGTTCTATCTTCTCCTGAAGAGATGTTTGGTACCGTTGACATGCCAATATACTGTATTGTATCCGTAGTCACACCACTTTTGACAGTAGGTGGCAGTGTGGGTTTGTTGTTTACTCCAGGGACTGTAGACGGGAGCGCACGCACCGCTATTTCCTCATAATGGCGGAGAACATCGAAAAGAGGAAACACGTCTCCCTGTCTTATCATTTCTTTCCTGTATTACAGGTTAGTGTTGAACAAGAAAACCCCACAAAACTGCTAGAGTCAATAAGCAAATGTTGAGTTATGATTCAAGGGTGAGTGGTAGAGTGAAACTAGGGGAAAATGGTTCTGTGTATTCGTGGAAAGTAAGCTAATGCCCACCGAGAGCAATAGTAATGGCGGTGGTACACTCGATCATTCTCTTAAATAGCATGCTAGCTACAAGATACTAAGTGGGCCACACGCCTCCTCTTAAGTTCACAGGTCATCTGGCTCCGTGTTTAGTCTGTTTTGTTAACTTGCTAGAAGGTGTTGTTTTTTTCCAATGATTTGGTTACTGACACAATTGCTTATAAGTCCAAGTCTTGCTAGATAGTAAATTTATGTTAGTGCATTGAGAGTGCAATTATAGTCAAACTATACTCGAAGAGTTAACCATAGAGAAACAGTTTTGGACCAACTAGTGACATGAAGTTGTACTGTGTGTATTGACTTGTGTGGCTATGTAAAGCCAAGAAACCTGTATAAAGATACAGCTAAAGTACAGTAGTTATGATACTGGAAAAAAGAGACAATGCACCGTGTTCAGTGAACTGATGATGTTTATGAATAAATAATGGCAGAGAACATTGAAAAGAGGAAACACGTCTCCCTGTCTCATCATTTCTTTCCTGTATTACAGGATATATACATCTGCCTACAGGTGTTATATTCTGATACCTGTAACATATACAGTACCTGTTGGGGCCTGAGCAGGGGAGGACAGGCCTTCAAGGTGGGCGCTCTCAGGGCTGGGGAGCCCTGTGCCAGTACAGAGCGAATCCCGGCGAGCGGGACACTCCTCAAGCATGTCAGCCTCGCCAACAACATGGTCACAATATATTATCCTATATCAGTATAAAACGTAAACATCCCGTCAGGTAACGTTAACTAACAGCATTTAAACTGAGAGTCGTGACATCATACTTTTCTCTTTATTATCTGTAAAGGCAAGAGTCACAAACCAGTTAAGCATAAACGTTATTGCCAAGTATCGTCAAAAATACAAGTGGCAAATACATTTGACTCCAGCCCAATGGTCTCCGATGTGCACAAAAAAATAATAAATATAGTCATAAGTCATAAGGCTCAAGTAATGTAGCAATAACTGTCCAGTTATTGAAGTAAATAAACTTTGACATATTTCACGTTAGTTACCTATACTAGCAAACCTTAGCTAGTTAACACGGCATATATTAATTGGCTAACGACTCATTTAGCTAACAAGCCTTTTGGAAACCGTAGATATTCTGGTTTTAATCTTTTAAATAAAACTATTCTATACCAATACATCTTCGGTTGTATATTAATCAACTTACAAATAGGCAGCAATAAGCTAAGGTTACATACCGAGAGCAGGGTCGTTGGTTCCTTCACGTTTTTGCAAAGAAGTACGCAAGTCTCTGACGCAATTGTTTTTCAACATTCTTGAAAAGTCTATATGTACGTCATCATTAAGCGACAGAATTAATGGGAATTGTAGTCCTTCGACAGTTCTTTCTCTCCTAATACAACAATGCCGATGACAATCGGCATTTTATAATCCTATAAAAAGTAAATGACAATTACCAAAAAATAAAACAATTAATTACAATCACCGTATGTAATAATATCTGTATAACAACCTAAATTCTATGATATAAAATACAGTAATATACTATAAATAATATTATATAACTCATAATATGTAGCTTTCTTCTCTGCACCTAGAAGTCTACGGGACGCACAATGTGGTTTTCTCCACTAGGTGGGGCGCTTGCCTCTTCTTTTGTTCTCAGTAACTACTAAAACATTAAATTGGCCTAAGTAACAGCAGTTTCAGGCCAACACTGCCCTTTACCCCAAACACACACCTGCTTTACGTTTATAAAGTTTATTATCCGTTAATAAAAACTAAAAACTGGGGGTCCGTGAGGGGTCATGGCAGTGCGCCCTCTGCCTGAGGTGCGTACAAAGACAATGCCCTATTAAGGCCCAGGACGCCCCCTGCCCGAGGCTCCTCTTTTTGGACCAAAGCTTCCCATATGATTCATTGAATCGCACCGGGCAACATGATTCCATCTGATCTACAGGTTTCACTTATTCAGACTAGTCCGGCTGCATCTCTTGGATTTGATTGTTTTCTGTCACAAAATTGAAGTTGTCTCGGAAAATAATGCAATTCACTTCCGTCCGGAGTCCTCCTGGAAGGAAGGCTGATCAACTTCACGGATGAACCGTAGCGGGACGCTTTCAGACCTGAGCTCATCATGATGGTGAGTACGGAGTGCAGGCAACCGTTGCCTATAAATTAAAATGACACTTATTTATAAAGTTGTTTAACACTTATGGCCGACGTTGCCACGCTTTATGGAAAGCTTAGTAGCCTATAATAAAATTACAGG